TGGAAAACTGCACTAACTGTCGAGTTCCAGCTGGAATATATTTCAAGATCAGCCAGAACGTAACAACTTGATGGAATATTTTTGTCAAATGCAGCATTTATTTGAAATCTTCTTCAAGTTTTTTAAATTGTCAGGCAGCAACTAATTTGTCGCTATCGTTTGCTTGTAAACCTTCTATAGTTACATTGCGGAAAAAAGACATCTTGTAGAAAAGTGACAACTCACAGTCCGAAATTTTACCACTGACCAAACAAGACCAACTTCTTCTTCTTTAAATTTACCAAAATATTTTTTAAGGGTATTGACTACATAACTGAACTGGCTGCAGAAGCTATCCCTCAACTTCTTAATAACTCGATGCTACCCGACGTTGATGCTGATGGCGTTAAAATCTTAAAAATGCGCGTTGAGAAGTTTGAGAAACCAACGCTACGATCACATTTTATTAAGGGAGCCGGTAAGGATCATTTTCTTGTTCATTTTTATCAAACTTGTCTTTTATTTCTTCAGATGTTTTGAGCCTAACTAAATACAGAAAAAATGATCTGCCGTTAGATCAGACAATCAACTTCTGTTGTAAAATTTTTAAGAATGAAGAATATGACCGAGAGCAAAAATATTGCTTTGAACTTTTTAATCAGATCATCAAAAAAAAATAATTTTTTTTAATTTAACTAAGTGAAAACTGCATATCAGTGTTTGCTTATACTACTAACGTGTTAGGTCAAAAGTTTTCATTCAAAAAAAATAACTTATTTGTTAATTAGAAAAACAGCTAAGATGAGCATAAAAAACAGCTCTAATGTTGCTTTTAATGATGTTTTACTTTATTATATAGTCTTTAAGACGTAGTCGTTTCCACATTTCCGACAGCTATAAGTAGACAAGTTATCATGGAACATCTGTAATGAACAACGTTGTAAAAGCAAAAAATTGCTGAAGAAGCTAAATGGATAATGTTAATTTGATACATACTTTTAGCTGCTTTGGAAAAGTTTCAAACATTCAAAGGAATCGCTTATTTTAAATTTATTTACAGTTTCGACTAAAAAATTTTCCGTTTTTCGTTGTTTTTCTTTTTCTTAGAATCTTTTCAACTAGACTACAACATCAATTGAAGGTGTTGGCATCAACTTGTATTTGCCACATGTTGTTATATCAGCAGCATGTGAAATCAGCAGTTTTCTTACCACTCAACGAGGTAAATTGCGTGGAGAGATTCAAAACCTGTCGATTGTTATGGAAGTTCATATGCAAAGAAACGAGAGTACAAAAATGAACATTATTACTGTTAGCCTTTTAGTTCTGTTCACAAAATCCTCCCTTTCTTTACCAAAACATCGGAACCTAGGGTAAAAGATCAACCAAAAATTTGAAAAATTCAAAAACGTGATGACGATGATGACGAAATTTTCAGACGCCAGTGTGCAACGTGACCTCCAGTAAAGTACAACTTCTGTTTGCCGGCGATATGTCCAATTTGCTGAATGTCGCTAAGTATTTTTTACTCATTATTTGAATTCTTTCTTAAATGCAAAGCTTATTTTCTTTTCTAAATTAGGACATCTTTACAAAGAGATAAGCCTAAAAAGCCTAGCAGTATTGCAGTTAAGCGTGTCTACATTCAAACAAACTTCTTTCACCGTTACGCTGTTTTTTTTTTTGTATATCAGGTTATCGATCCACAATTCATATAAGGGAGTTTCAGACTTTTCTATGCACTTCCATCTAGCATCCCATATATTCAGTTTTGTACTTTCGTCTTAATTCTCACGGTGTTTTACAAGGTTGACTAGCAGATGACAAGTGGTAGAAAAGGCAGCGGCTGCATTTCCTAGCTGCATTTGTAGAGACCTAAAAGGTTTAGGATTGCTGCTCATGCGACAATCCCACTCACATT